GTTGGGGGCAATATGCTGACTCTCTGTAAACCGCTTAGAGAGGGCTGAAAGCCCTATGAAGCGGTATATAAGTCTACTGCTATTGCATCATGTTTAACACAAGAAAGAGCAAATTCACTGCTGATGAGGCTAATGAGAATGGCTTTTTAATATAATGCATCAACACCAGAGGGCAGAAGACTAGCATGAAATAAAGGGGAAACAAAGCCAGCCTTTGGAATTGGGGAACTCGAGGATGTGAGAAACTCACAGTTTCACCAAGTTGGCTCTACAGTTATATGCAAAGCCAAAATAATAATCAGTATAAATATTAATTGAGAAACCAGAGGCTAAAAGGCAAGTTCAGATCTCAGTGGCAATTTAAACAGAGATGGAAGAAGGCAGAGCACCAGATTTAACACACTGAAAAAGAGTACATACTGAATATCATGAAACTGGATCAGGGATATGGTAAGACGCATTAGTATAAAATTAAAAATCAGCATTTGCAATAGGAATTTCCTGAAAAACAGGACAAAGGAAAAGTTCAACTGCAGTTTAAATAAGGTAATCACCAATTTAGTGTTGAAGCACCACTAGAAATTAGAAATGAGGACACTGTGAGTTTTAGTCCTATTCTAAGGGATGAAAGTGACTTTGGGCAGCCATACTTTCTCAGCTCAACTCATCTTACAGGGTTATTGGTGTGGGGAAAAGAGGTGGCAGAAGATGCATATTTGCCACCTTGAGTTATTTATAAAGTAATAAATAACTGGAAAAACATTCAGCAAGAAATAGGGTTGAATGGCTGGAGAATTCAAAAGAGGAAATATGGGTGATTAACACTTGCTGAAATAATAGCACTGGTGTCAATTATTTTGTACTATATAGACTGTACTCTATTGCTTCCGGTGTGGCTTTTTGATACTAAATCTCAAAGGAAGAAGAAAAAAAATGTTTTGCTTCTCATCCAAGAAGCTTCATCAGTCGTGTCTCACAACTGATGAAGCTTCTTGGATGAGAAGCAAAATGTCTTTTTTTTCCTCAAAGAAAAAGCAATCCAGGTGTGATTTGAAAAAAGCACCTTTGAGACAACTATGACCTGGATGACTAAGAATCTCCTTAGAAATTTTAACACTAAGGTTGGAAATTTTATATGGACTGGAAGTATGTACCAAAATTCCTTATTATCATAGTTCAGTAAACTTAGTTTTAGGGAACTGCAAAATCATATTATGCAGGTCCTGAGATGTCCATGGAGTTCAAATCTAACACCAGCACCCAAACCTGATACATGGGATTCCAAATCATACCAACCATCATGAGGAATTTCTGAGAAGACAGTAGTGTTGGAAGAGACCAGAATCACACATAGAGGGTAACATGTTATTTGTATCGTATTTATCAGTAGATAATTAAGGATACTGTACACCCTTCTCAGTGGCACTGATATACCGGTAGGTGCTATCTAGCAATATTTCTTTGTTTCAACCACTTTTTTCTTTAATTTATCATTAGGTGTTTTTTGCAGATTCTTTGTATGAGACCATTTTTGTATGCTTTTTCTGCCCACAAATTATAACATCCCCCAAAATATTCATATTTCTAAAATTCCTTTAAGATACCTTTTTTTTGGCCAATATGAAAAGTTGCCTTACTAGGAAGCAGCCTAATTGGATCTTAAAACATTCATCCATTCTATTTACATGTTTGGGTATTTTTACAATATTATGAGATCCATAAGTTATTATGTATATTGAGCTGAGCTCTTCCTGGAAAATCTGGAGCCACCAGACCACGTGAGCTTGTCCTTATTGGCTCTTATGAGTTCCTCTCACTAAATCTCATGATTTGTAAAAGGTATAGAGTCTATAGATCTCTGTCAAGTCACATATTTTCTTTACCCAATTATCTTCACCAGGCTGGGCTTGAGGTAGAGGTCAGGAAGGGCAAGAAAGGCGATAAGATTGAAGTTGTTGAATGAAGCCAGATCCCATTTCCCAAAGTACGCTGTTTCTGAATCCACTGCTGAACCAGTTGTTGAGGAATACCAATTCTGCATCCAGTGAGTACAGAAAGTCAACAGATAAATCTTTTATTTAGCAATGATTATTTGAACTGCTCTGCAGAATCAAACATTGGGAGAGTTGTGTACTAAGAAGCATGCATAGCACAGTGTATCCATTTCTCAATGGTTTAATATATGCATTTGATTTCTAGAGTTAAACTTTATTATTATTTTTGCACAAAGACAGTTCCCAGTATGATCTTTTAAAACATTAAAAAATCATTGTCCAATCCTAGAATATCATGGCATGGATGGATACTAATTTATTACCTTGGCTTCCTTGTTTGAGATCTGTCTTCTTAGACTCTTTATTTCTCCCTAGAAGAAATTGTCTTTGGAACATCTGAAACAAACAAAAACTTGTAAGCACCTGCACAGTATTTGTCAGAAATAAAGGAGTAGGTAAATGCTTTTCGACAGGTATTTCTGGGAAGGATGGAAGATCTTGCAAGCTGACTTTTTAAGCAAGTTCTCTGCCACCCCAACTTTAGAAATCAAATATTGGTGAAAAGAAGCAAGTTAAAGATTTAATAATGGTAATAAATAATGAATAAAAATTAATTAATATTGGGGGGAAAGAGCATTTGAATGCTACCTATTTCTCTGTCTTTACTCTAGATAACAATTATTCATTTAGTTTATCCATACCTAAAAAATACTGTTTTCCCCCCAAAATGAAAACCAGAACAGCCAGGAAGATGGGAGGCAATAAAAGCATACAGGACCGGTAATGAAATTCAGCTCCGAATCAAACCTTGATCCGAAATAATTCAAAGAACTTACTGAATCAAAAAGCTGCGGGATATGGACCTGATAACAAAATACACCACAGCCCATTGCGCAATCTTAAAAGCGAGCGGTTGTTGAGGGTTGCGCAGCCCCAGGACGTCTATCTGAGTCGTAGCAGACTACGCTCCAAGGTGGAGCGTGGGGACTCCAGAAAGGTCAAGCTTGGAGGGAGGGCCTAAGGCACGGAGGAGGAGGTAGGACTCGCCTTCTCCTGCCAAATTAGGCTGTGGTCACGGAATAAGGCTTAGCAATAGCAAGCGAGGATGCCGGAAGGCACGCGTGGGGCCACCCAGCCCACGAACTAGAGCCGAGCCGTACGTCCCGCGGGAGTGAAGGCCTGCGGCAAGAGAAAGTACAGCCGTTGCCAGAGCCGAGCAAGGGAGCGCGGTGCCTCCGAGGAGTGGACCTAGGCGCTGGTTCGCGGGACGGCTGGAGTAAAACTCGAGCGGTATCCTCCGGCCAGCGCCAGCGTTCGAGGTAGCAGCTTGCGGAATAAAAGGCGGCAGCGGCGGCGCGAAGGAAGGAGAGATCGAGTGGCTGTTGCGCCGCTGCCCTCAGGATGTCCGCGCACAGCCTGCTCAACAGCGTCTTCTCGTGCTCCTCCTCGCCGGCGGCTGCCGGCAGTCCTCCGCTCTGCCCCAAGAGCTTGTCCAAGCGGGGACTTCGCCAGACTCGCAGTCTGGACCCCGCCGTGATCGGCCGCTCCGGCGTGGAAGAAGGGACGGCGCTGGAGGGTTCGGCCCGCTCCGCGCGGGCCAAAGGGACGAGTGGTCCTTCGGCCGAATACTTGGCGGCCTTTTCTTCGCGCGCCCTGCTGCGTCCGCCCGGCGGGGGGCAAAGTTCCTTCTCGCTCTCCGTGCCCAGCACGCCCCTGTCGACCTCGGGCAGCTTCCACTTTGACTATGAGGGCCCTCGAGGCAAGAGGCTCACGGCGTGGGAGCTGCCTTTCTTGGCGCGCGCACCCTCAGCCTCGGCTCTCAGCGGCGGCTATGGGGGCAGCGGGGCCAACAGCATCTTCTTTTCCCCCAGAAAGTGGCTCCAGCAGAGGAAGGGACAGCATCTGCCCAGCAGTCCCGCCTCTTCCTACGTAGTGTGGAAAGCCGAGGTAGGAGCGTTGCTTTAAAGCTTAGATTAATCATTGACCCTCTCACCACAGTCGGGTAACTTTTCAGTTAGGAGCCATAGTGGAGCTGATGTGTTGAGAACTTTAAATTAAAATGCCCTGGTTTATGAACTGCTGACTGTAGGTAATTATCCTGGGAAAAGGAGTTGATCACCTGTCTCAATAAAGGATAATATTTGTAGTTCAGAGTTGTAATAAGGGGTCTTTGGTGCTCTCTAAACTCCATGGTTGTTTTCTTGCAAACCTTTCATTACTCAAACTGCATTGATGATAGTTACCTAGCTTAGGTAATGAAACGTCTGCAAGAAAACAACCAAGCTCAGAGAACACTAAGGACCCCTCAGTCTTGCCTCAGTTATAGAACAGGTTTAGAAAGGGTACCATATATGGAACTATATTACTATTTGAAACTATTAGACAAATGCAGAATGATCTTTGCAATCTAAAATAGATCCAGAACAGGATGGAGAACCTTTAACCCGCCAGATGTTTGTTGAGTCAGCAGTCTCAGTTAACATGATGAATGAGTGTATGGGTGTTGCAATTCAGCTCAAGGAAGCACATGCTTCAAATACTGTACTTTCTGAGAATATTATTGTCCCATGTTGAGTGAGGGAATGTTCATCCTTCTCTATCATAAGAGTCTTCAAAAACATATTTTATCAGTATCAGGTTTACCTGGATGTATGCCTTAAATATGGATACTTCATTTTCCCTCTTTCTGCCTTCCTCACAGATTTATTTGTTTAATTATGTTTAAACTTTATCCTGAAAGTTTTGTATGCCTGTATAAGAAAGTTTTTCTTCCTATATCAAGTTATTCTTTCTTGTTGCCAGGTTGCATTTCTTTGGTGATGTAATGGCATGACTATGTTCTGTCCTCATTACACAGTTTACAAAAATAATGGATAACATAAACTTAAGTGTTCAAAGAAAAACTCACCTCCCAAAGCATACAATTAATGTGCATAAATTGCAGTTAGATTATTATTGTCTAGTCACACTGAATATAGTCAAATATATATGTTGGATTTCAAAAAAATATTTATTTCCAATTAACTCTGAGCAATAAGTAAGAAAATTCTGCAACATAACAAACTAATAGGAAAAAGGGACCAAGATGGATAGGAGGTTTAAAATAATAGACTAGAATAGAATTATTTATTGGTCAAGTGTGATTGGACACACAAGGAATTTGTCTTTGGTGCATATGCTCTTAGTGTAAAAAGACATGAAAAGATACATTCGTCAAGAATCATAAGATACAATACTTAATGATAGTCATGGGGTACAAATAAGCAATCAGGAAACAATCAATATCAATATAAATTGTAAGGATACAAGCAACAAGTTACAATTGTGCAGTCATAAGTGGGAGGAGATGGGTGATAGGAACAACGAGAAGACTTAATAGTAATAGTAATGCAGCCTTAGTGAATGGTTTGATAGTGGTGAGGAAATTATTTGTTTAGCAGAGTGATGGTGTTCGGGGAAAAAGTGTTTTTGTGTCTAGTTGGTATGCAGTGCTCTATAGCATCGTTTTGAGGGTAGGAGTTGGAACAATTTATGTCCAGGATGCGAGGGGGTCTATAAATATTTTCACGGCCCTCTTTTTGACTCATGCAGTGTACAGATCCTCAATGGAAGGCTGGCAGTGATTGTTTTTTCTGAAGTTCTGATTATCCTCTGAAGTCTGTGTCTATCTTGTTGGGTTGCAGAACCAAACCAGACAGTTATAGAGGTGCAGATAACAGACTCAGTAATTCTTCTGTAGAACTGTATCAGCAGCTCCTTGGGCAGTTTGAACTTTCTGAGTTGGCGCAGAAAGAACATTCTTTGTTGTGCTTTTTTGATGATGTTTTTGATGTTAGATGTCCATTTTAGTTCTTGAAGTATGATAGAACCTAGTATTGTTGATACTGTGTTGTCTAGTATTGTAAGAGGTGGTAGTATGGTAGGGTTTCTCCTAAAGTCTACCACCATTTCTACAGTTTTGAGTGTGTTCAGTTCCAGATCGTTTCAGTCATACCATGAGGCTAGTTGTTCAACCTCCCGTCTGTATGCTGTTTCATCGTTGTCTCGAATGAGACCAATCACTGTTGTATCATCTGAAAACTAAAGTATTTTAACAGAGGGATCCTTTAAGATGCAGTCATTGGTACATAGAGAGAAGTGGAGAGAGCACACAGCCATGGGGGTTCCTGTGCTAATTGTACAGGTATCTGATGTGATTTTGCCTATCTTTTAGGAAGCTGGTGATCCACTTACAAGTGTGTTCAGTTACCACTAGCTGATTTAGTTTAGTTAGAACAATGTCCGGTATGATGGTATTGAATGCTGAACTAAAGCCTACAAAGAGGATCCTTGCATAGATGATTCAAGATGTTGTAGAATGTAGTGCAGAGCCATATTAACAGCATCATCTGTCGACCTTTTTGCTTGGTATGCAAATTGCAGGGGGTCTAATAGTGGATCCGTGATGGTTTTCAAGTGGGACATCACTAGCCTTTCAAAGGTTTTCATAACTACAGATGTTAGAGCAACTGGTCATTCAGTTCAATGGCAAATAAAAAGCCATTAACAGCAAATCACAAATCTAATGACAAAAGAAAGAGGACAACATAAGTCAATGTATAAGTGACATTTTTATTAATAATTTGGATAAAGAGATGGGATCATCTTACCAGATTTGGAGATGACACATACAAGATAAAATAGCTAATACCACAAAAACAAAATTCAGTATGATCATGAGAAGCTGAAGGATGCATTGAAAATACAGAATAAAAAATTAGTAGAAACAAATGCAGATTTAAGTTCACTTTGTAATTTATAGGACACCGAAATCCACCAAGACTCTGGGTATCTTACAAATTTAAAAGTAAAGAACATTATTAAAAGAATAAAGATAATAGACCTTCTTTCCCCACAAAAAGTGAGCCTGGAAGGGCTTAAGAAACACTGATTAATTGCAAGAGTGTGGATGATGGATTCTTGTCAGATAGTAAATCTGAAAGAAACCTTGGAATAGAACTTGGTTACACACTTAATGCGTCAGTAATGTGACATGGGTGTAAAGTATGTAAAGGCCTATCACATGGGAGAAGGATATGATTTGTTCTCTGAACTGCCAGAGTACAAGTTACAAAACCATGGTCTTAAGCTGCAGGAACATAATTTTCATTTGAGTATTAGCAAAAAAATAATAAGTATAGTCTGACCTTAGAGTCATTTACCTAGACAGTGGGAAGCTCCTTTTTGTTTTGAGTGTGTTTGAGCAGATCTGTATCTGGAAGGCTTTAAACTGGATTTCCTAATTTTCTGAACTCAATAATTTTAACTCCATACCTAAATGGCTCATTCCAACTATGTGAATCTAATATACTTGATTAGCTATAAATTTCCCCAGTCTTCCTGAGTTTGCATATATTCATGCACCCACCAGCACCCTTCTTCCCTACCCTCCCTGCACTTGCACATATATACCCTATGACCCCTTTCCCCCACACGCTAATGTTTGCACATACACATGCATTCAGTAATTCTCTGTTTCCCTGGCCTCCCTGCACTCACAACATGTACCCTGTACATTCTTTCCCTGGCCTCCCTGTGCTCACACATACACACAGACACCCAGCAATGCCATGCTACTCTGGTTTCCCTGCACTTGCACACACATGTACCCACAATTCTCCCCTGGGTCTCCCTGAATTTGCACACACATGCATTCACCAGCATACTCCTTTTCTGGCTTCCCTTGCTCACATACATCCAGATACACAATCATGCATCCCACCCCCTCTTCCTCTGCTTACACACATCCACAATCCCTCTTTTCTTTGTCTCTTTGCACATGCACGTGTCCCTCCAGAGCCCTTTCCCTGTATTTGCACACATGCATCCTGCATCCTCTTGCCCCAGATTCCCTGAGTTCATGCTACACTGTATCACCCCCCCACCCCCACCCCCATTGTCTGGGACTCCCTCTGCTTCCTACTTAATGACTTTGGGGTAAAAAACAGCCGGGAATGCCTAGATTGCCATTGCTAAGTGAGTCATTGTTATGTCACACTTTATGACAGCAATTCTGTTGTCAGTTGCCATTGTAGCATTGCAATTGAGTTGCTGATTAATAAAAGTTTGCAGAACCTGCATGTGTACATTTATTTGCTATTGAGCAAAAATATTTTTGACATAAAATTTTATCATTAGTGGCAGACAAAAAAAAAACCAAGAGCCTATGCTTATATTTATCATAAATAATGCATTTCTATTACAGCAGTGGTATCGTTTCAGTAAAGTATCTGGATAAAATCTATTTCATCTAGGGCTTCCTACTGAGGACTTCTCCTATTTGTTCGCCTCCTCTTCCTCCATTATAAGGTCAGGGGTGAATCTACACCTTATTGGCTCTATGTGGTGCACCACCCAAAATCCTCTGTAGTTTCAAAAATAAATATATCCACCTGGCTGGCCTGAGAAAAGGAGAGAACAGTTTGCCACATCCTTCTGTAGCCATTTTTGGCAATGCCTTCACAGCTCTCTTAGTATGGGCAGAGTAAGAAATCTCTCAGCCAGCACTGGCAAGAAGGAAATGGCAATAGTATGGCCTCTGGCCGTGTAGAAGAAGATTTGCTAATGCCTGTTATAGGTAATTCAGTATAGGTAAGAATTTTGAACATAAAAATATTACAAATATGTAAATTATGTTGTGTTCTGCATAGGCAGAATGACTTATGCATTTAGGCTAAGGATAAAAGTAGCTCAGTTGGCCATAAGGATAAATCTAAATCCTTAGTTAGGTAGAACCTTTATTTAGTCAATTCAAAGGTCATCCCCAAACAGTTAACTTTACATTAGGGTAGATTAGAAAAAACAAGCAGGTAGGCATTGAAACATGAGTTCAATCTTCAGCTGGAATGAGAAAGAAAGTTCAGGCATTGATGTTAAGCTCTGGAGGCTTCTGTGATTATTTCTGTATGAACATAGGGCTAAGACTTATTCTCTGTTGTGCAAAAAGGAAAATCCCAGACCTATCTTTATTCTTAGATAAAACCAATAGTAGTTTTTTTTTATTGGGAAAAAGAAAAAGCAGAGTAGGGAGGAATCAGTATGGAGATTGTTTTTATTTTGGATGATGAACTAGATTAAATGGAAAGAAGGACAATGTTATTTATTAAAAGGTTCTTGTAGGATTTTTTTTTTTTAAAAGAAACAACTTGCATTTCTCTCTCAAGTGACAATGTTCCGAAAAGTATAGAAACTTTTTAAAAGTTCTAAAATGTGTTCTTTCATTCAACATAAAGTCCCCCATAAAATTCTCTCACTTGAAGGAAATGCCAGGTCTTTGGTGCTTTTTGGAAGGTTAGCCGGAAAAGGCCTGTTGAACTTCAGGGGAACAGTATTTATAGGGCAGGCGCTGTCACAGTAAAAGCTTGTTTTCCAGCTCCCAATGATGGCAACGTTAAAGGGAAGAGATTAGGAATATGCCCACCTCATCTGAACTTGTCCTTAGGGAGAGCTAGTTCTGCAGATCTTGTACCATGTAGGGCTTCACCTCACTTCATTTCAGTTCTAGTAGCAGGTTCTTTCTGTTCAAAGGTGTGTTTTCTGTTTGTAGACTCAATTTATTCCATACATAATTGAAATGAGCATACAGAACTCTTCTTACAGTGTGAATGCATAATAATAACCACTAATAAACCTGCTAGGCTAATTATTTCTGCTATATTCAAGTTACTGTTTAAAAACAAAAAAATTTTTCCCAACAGTAACATGTAATTAGTAATGAAGTAACGAGGCGCTGAGGCTGAAAGATATGTAAAGTTGCCATGACATCCATAAATACCTGAGCTTCTCTTTTAATATATA